GCTTCACTCTAACCTTTACCCAAGTGCTCGAGCAGGAGAGAAAAATAAAAATTAAAGGATTTATAACCACCTCCTGGTTTGTCCCTCATTCCCTCTCCTGCTATCCATACTCTTAGAGCCCAGGATGGAGGGGAGTGAATTCTATTGCTCTCCTCTAGCCAGCAAAGAACAAGACTGGCTGCTATTAGGGAATGTGCCTTCGACGCCCTGATTTATGGCACTGTTGGAGTAATTTTCCACTGGAGGGAGCAGTATCCCCACAGGAGTCCTCTATTGGACTTAGAGTGATGCTGGGGCCCACAGGTCCTGGGAAGACTTGTGGTCCCACAGCGAGAGAGAAGAAAACGAAGATAGCAAACCACGAGTGCATTTGGTTGACAGATGTGAGAGAAGCCACAGACACAGGAGCAGGTACGCCCAGCAGGGCGGGAGGGGACGAGGGCAAGAGGCGAGCGGGAGAAGTGGAAGAATGAAAGAAAAACATTTCCCAACCAGAGAGAGGCAAAAGACACCGACGCACGACATATTCACAGCAGCAGTGGACAGATGAATAAAGAAAGGTGCAATAACTACCGTCTTCTTCCTCTATCCATTCTTCCTCTTCTGGGCCAGGGAGGAGGGAAAGGAATAAGTGCAGAGGTTAGTCAGACACCATAAAGCTGTGGGGCGTAGCTACGGCGTGCACGAGATGAGCACTCCAGCACTGCAGTGGTTTCCCCCTTGCACCTCTCTTTGCTTTTAAGGCTCAGGATGCTTTTCTGTGCAGCAAAACCCAGCGCCCAAACCCGTCCCCAAATGCACAGCCCAGCTGTGGCACAGAGCAGCTGCGTCGTGGGGTTTGCTTCTTCATCGGACTGGGGCAGCTGGAGGTTTGTGCTTGGGCATCATTAATACACATTCAGCTGAGGCTCCAGCTGCCATTGCGTGACTGTGCTCACATCTCTGCCAATGCCCGAGTTCAGCGTCCCCACCCCTGTTTTGAGGCAAGGGATCACTCTGACAAAAGAGATCTTGGAAACATTCAGGCTGGTTTTGATCCTACTGAGTTTTCAGGCGGAAAAATCTGGAGCATGGTCTCATCTGCGTTTTCTGGTCATGGTTTGCCCATTGCGGTCAAGGAACTTACCACCACAACCCACCCAAGAAAAACACTGAACCAACAGCACTCGTCTCTTGGTCCTTGCAACTGCTGGTGAAACACTTACCTTCTTCCACGTACTCCTCTTCACAGAGCACATGGGCACACGGGAGAGAAGGAAAGGAAAAAGATGCAGGTTATTGAAGTTGCTCTGATCGTTTCTTAGCTTCAGTCCCGGGACAGCTGCAGATGCTCCACATCCTCTTACCTTCCTGCTCCCTGCGAAGCACAACACAAATTTGTGGAGTTACAGTGATCTGCTACAACAGGGCATGCGAGTTCGTCAGTGAGGCCAAAGGGGAATTTGAAATTTCCTCAAGGCTGGCTCTGCTTTTTCATAGCAATGGGCAGTGACTGCTGGGCAGGTTGCCGTGTGACATGCTGCAAGGTGGCCATGGGGACAGGACAAGACCCAGATCACCCTGCACGCTGGGGACAGCAGGAGCTGAAGTGCTCGACTGATGCTTCGACAGCGATTGGAGCACAACATCGTTTTGCAGCTTGAGAAGATCAAGTGATCATGGCCTATAATCCTAAAAATGGGCATCTCACATCTCATCTTTGCCCCAGAATCCTTTCCTGGCCTTGGGGGAGATGCACAGCGTGTCCTCAGGTGTGCCCAGGCGTCAGACATGCGAGTCTTGTGGCATTTAAACAGGAGAGAAGGGTTCAGATCTACTTTTTTCTGCTGGTGGATGAGAAGTAGGAGAAGTAGGAGCTGTGTTTGGGCTGATCCTTATGACCACGTATCGCAGACATTGAGCCTCGTCTCTCTGGGGTGCACCTCATGGCCCAGCAGCCCTCAACTAGCAAAATCTGCCCTCAAATTTGAGCCTTGGGGAGCGATGCTCTGGATGTGGCAGCAGGACCCCAGCAGCAGCAAGCTGGTGACCTCAGCCTTTCCCCAGCACTATCCCACTGGTTTAGACCCCAACATTTTTAATGCAGGAACTGTCCCTTGCTGTGTGCATGGCAAACCATATCTGGCAAACTGCGTCCCTGGCAAACGGCTCCCAGCCCAAAACTCCCCACTGCTGGGGGCCTCGGCACTATCGCAGCAGCGGTGCAGATGGGCACAGGGTGGGGGGATCCCAAGGCCCTTTCCTGCTGGGGTAATGATGAGAGCTGGTGCCCCCCAAATGGCTAAGCAATGCTGGGAAGGAAGGAAGGGAGGAAGGGAGGAAGGAAGGAAGGAAGGAAGGAAGGAAGGAAGGAAGGAAGGAAGGAAGTATTTAAAACCACACCACTTACTGCTCATATTCTTCAACGACCTCTTCAGAGTCCGACATGCCTGGTTATCTGGCAGAATTAAAGGCAGATTGGAAAAAGCGAGGGTTAGGAGCTGAGATAAGGACAAGCACAGCCTGTCCTCTGGAGCCCGAGACACGGGCTTGGAGCTTCGAGCT